GGTGTTTAACACCTCTTCCTTCACTCTGCCTCTTTCCCATTGCGTGCAAGTGGGCTGTTATGGCATACGGGGATGGGGGCAGCTCGCGCTCAACTTCATCAACGTGGCGAGCCTTGTACGTTAGAGGCACAGTGGAGGAGGCGTTAAGAAGACTGGGAAACTGAATGATTTCAATGAGTGTTTGTTTTTTATTTTTATCCTTTGATTCAATGTATTTTTTTTGTAAAACACTGAAAGAAATAATAATACTGTGAAACAAAGAATAAGAGGACATTGTTTTGTGTCATTCTGGTTTGTCTGTCTCTTTGCCTGTCGGTCCTTACATTTTTCTTTTCTTCGCTCATCTTATTTCTTCTTCTACTTCAGGTGCTTATGCTCTTAGTCAATAGTTCTGTGACAATATATATCGTCAAACATATATATATTGGAAATGAGGATAAAATCAGGATTGGGATTCCGAAGATGCGGAAAAGGACCACTTCAGTTCGATCGGGATTCGAAAGTTGCGGAAAAGGACTGACATCAGGATCCGAGGAGGAGAATTGGGATCGGGATGAGGATGAAGAGGAGAATTGCGAGCAGGGGTGGGCAAGGGCATCGCCACACCACTCTCGAAATGTGCAGAATGAGAATGAACTTCTTGCTAGAACATGGCCAGATGCACCGGCCACAATTTTGTCTTTTTCACATTTCGAGAGTGGTGTGGCGAGACCCCAAATTAGCATCGTGATCCAGGTCCGCCTCCTTCCTTCCTCATGATCCCGTTCCTCCATTCCCCCCTCCTACGGATTGCGGTCCCCCTTCTCCTGCTCCTCGTGATCCCTATCCTCCTCCTACCCCGCCTCCTCCCAATGCTGATCATCCTCCTCCCCTCCTCACGATCCCAATCTCCTCGCCTCCTCGCGATCACAATCTCCTCCCCTCCTCACAGTCTGATTCACTGCCTCCCCCTCCTCCTCCCCTCTCTCCTTTTCCACTTCTTCCTCTTTCCCCTCCTCCCTTCCTCGTGTCATCCACATGTTACTTGCAAGTAATTAACACAAAGGGAAGCTCTTACAGAAAATGCAGAGCAAGTACCAACACAAAACGAACCTTGCACAAAGGAAGTAATCAATACGAACTCTCTCTCTCTCTCACTCTCACTCTCACTCTCACTCTCTCTCTCCCTTGCGTGCGCGCCGGTTTCTGATCACTGACATCGCTCGGTGTAAAGGAGGAGGATCATCCAGATCCCCAGGAGGGAGGAGGAGAATACAGATGGTGATGGGAGGGGGAAGAGGCGAATTGGGATCGGGATGAGGGGAGGAGGAGAATCACGAGCAGCGGGCAAAGGAGCATCGGGATCCTGGTCCTCCTCTTCTTCTCCTTGTGATTCCAATCCTCCACTTCCCCCTCCTCCAAATCGCAGTTCCCCTCCAGTCCTCCCGCTCCTTGCGATCCTTATCCTCCTTTCTACCCCTCCTCCTCCCGCTGCTCTTCCTCCTCCTCCCCCTCCTCGCGATCAAAATCTCCTCCCCTCCTCACAGTCTGATCCGGCCCCTACTCTTCCTCTCCCTCTCTCTCCTTTTCTACTTCCTCCTCCTTCCCATCTTCCCCTCCTAGTGTCATCCACATGTTACTTGCAAGTAATCAATACAAAGCTAAGCTCTTACGGAAAACGAGGAGCAAGTAATTAATACAAAACGAATCTCGTACAAAGCAAGTAATCACAACAAACTCTCTCTCTCTCTCTCTCTCTCTCTCTCTCTCTCTCTCTCTCTCTCGCGCGCGCGCGCGCTCGTGTGTGCTCATGCCCATGGACTTGGGCAATACCGGTCGTCGCTGTGAGCATGAAATTGTATCTTTGGCGCTCTCTCTCCAATGCTGGCTGTACATTTATGCAGGTTGTCAACTGGACATTACCCCTTTACCACTTACTTGTGGGTGGAGGGAGGGAGGAAAGAGGGGCGGGGTGGGGGGGGGTGTGTATGTGTGTGTGTGTGTGTGTATGTGTGCGCGAGCGCGCGCGCGCGCGCGCGCGAGAGAGAGAGAGAGAGAGAGAGAGAGAGAGAGAGAGAGAGAGAGAGAGAGAGAGAGAATACGGATTTCAAGATGCAGCCACTCCTATGATGCAAGGAATTATCGAGTGCGCCCAGGTCGCAGATCTCGATTGCAGGGCGGCTCCAACTCTGCCACACCATCTCAAGCTGGCCCAGGCCAAGGGTGTGAGCTACACGTGCGTGGTATGCCTAGTGATAGGTAGGGAGAGAGAGAGAGAGAGAGAGAGAGAGAGAGAGAGAGAGAGAGAGAACACGTCTTTTTTGCAGATACATGTGTATGTGAATGAATGCGTGTGTGA